AGCACATTTTGATTGCACCTAACGAAGGGACTGTTTATTCGATCCAGTAGGACCATCAGCTGGTCCTTGTCGCCACACGATTTGGAAAATTCCTTCATTGTGATTGGTTGGTTAGTTGGGTGGAGGTGGTTGAGTGGATTGAATAGTTAACTGATTGGCCAAAGAAGAAGTTAGTCAGCACATCCCTGTTTCCCAAACCCTAACTAACCTTGTAGACCTCGGGGGGTAGATGCGTACTTGCTTCTGAAAGGATGACCTCCATGATTTGTAGGATCTGCTCAGTTAGGGTCTGCCCTTTTATGGACGTTTCCATTTCTTGTTCTGCTAACAGGGCCTGTATGCGCACGTGAACACGCGAAAAACATACAGAAATATAAATAAAGCATTACAAGTGTATAGACAGAGCGTACACGCAAAGCCTACATACAAAACAGGCATACAAAGCGAACAAACAAACATAAAAAGACATACAAACCAGATTAAGCGCTCCCAGCATGACGGTGATAGAGTTCATGTTAATCTCAATGAGTTGTTGCCTATTTGATTTGACCATGACACAGTAACTGAACAACTTCAGCAGGACTATCATCAGCTGTTTGCCTGATACTAAACTCTTTATTGACGACAGCCTGCAAGATTTTTTTTGTATATTTTGATGTTTTGTATTTATTGTATGTCTGTATAAATGCATGCTTTTGTTTTGTATACATGTTTGTGTCTCCAAGTATGTACGTATGTATATATGAATGAATGAATTAATGAATGAATGAACGAACGAATAAACGAACAGGCATACAAATGAACGAAGGGAGCAAAATATTTGACCTTTGTAGCATGACCTTTAGGCCTCCACACTGACTCATTACGTTTGCCATTCTATAAACTTCCTCACTGTCTACATCTGAATCTGTTTTGTTTTTGTTTGTTGGTTTGTTTGTGTCTGTGTGTGTGCGTGCGTGCGTGCGCGTGTGTGATTGTTAGCAAACGTAGATTAAACATACACAAATTAAAAACCAGACCAAACGACAATCCCAATTGGATAAAAAAGCAAATGCAAGTTCCAATAAATTAGTTACACACACACACACACACACACACACACTTACACACATACAAACACACACATACACACAAACACACACAAGCACAAACCTTTTCCGGTTTCGAGACTGTTGACCATGTCTTCAGTGGCGTCTCCAAGCAGACCTCTCATGCGATACACTACTCTCATCGGGTCAGTCTGTTCGTACATAGGTCGTTCTTTCATTCACTCCTTCATTCATCCACTCATTCATTCATTCATTCACTCGACCGTTTTGAAATCAATTATTAATATTCCATAATTAACCAGACAGACAAGTACACAATTACACACACACACACACACACACACAAACAAAGGCAGTCAAATACACAGCCAGCCAGCCAGACAGACAGACAGACGTACGTCATTATGCTCAAGCAGCCATATTTTCCTGTAGACATCCTTGACGGCCAAGTCTAGACTGATGATTTTGTTGTTTACGAGCAACTCCATGCCAGTGTCATCTTCTAGTAAGGCCACCAGCTCACAATCTGATTGGTTGGTTTAGTTTTTTGATTGATTGATTGGTTGTTTTAGTTAACTGACAGATTGTCTGGTTGATTTGTTGGATTGACTTCAAATTACAAGTATAATAATAACAACAACAACAACAACAACAACTAAATAATGATCGTGTTAATGAGGGTAAGCAAACAACCTTGACATATCTTATTCTTCACGTCCCTCATCAAAGGTCCCAGCCCCTGCTCATTAGAACTGTATGGATTGCCCAACATACGACCTGTGTGTACGTGTGTGTGTGTGTGTGTGTGTGTGTGTGTGTGTGTGTGTGTGTGTGTGTGTGTGTGTGTGTGTGTGTGTGTGTGTGTAGGTAACAACAGCGTGTACTCAATAATAAAGTATGTACAATTGTACATGCACTGTACACAACAGTAACGAACCTTGGAGGAAATCTTCCTGCTGTGGATCTTTCTCCAGGGAGAGTGTAAACTCTTTAGAATCATTCGCCTCCTTTGTTTGTTTATTTGTATGTTTGTATGTATGTTTGTGTGTATATGTGAGCTTGTACACGAGCACAAATACACACACAAACAACAAATACATAGACAGACAGACAGACAGACAGACGAGAAATACACACACTAACAAAGATATTGAAGAAAAAACTTTCAAACGTGAATATAGGTAACAGTGGACCATGTACTGGAGATGCCAACAACACAAACAAACATGAACACACGGACAAACAAACAAACAAACACAGAGACAAACAAACAAACACAGAGAAATAATACGTACCGGGACGATAATGTTACAGAGCCTTTCAAATATGAAGACAGGCGAAAGGAGGTCTTGCAGTGGATACTTATTGATCGTCTCCACGCATACTGACATGAACTCCTTTCTCTCTGACTCGTTTCCTGGATTAGTGGATTGACAGATGGATGGATGAATGAATGAATGAAAAGAAAGAAAGACGATGCAATGAATTAACAAATGAATGAATGTATGAGTGAATGAATGAATTAGTGTATGACAGAATGAATTAACGAGTTGATCATTACATAGATGAACTAGAGAGGATTAGTAATTGGATTAGTTAAAAAACCAAATGGATGAACAAACGAACGAACAAACAAACAAACGAATGAATGAAAGGATGAATGAAAGATTGATTGATTGATTGATAAAAACTACACACACATACACACACACACGCGCGCGCACCAGTTGTCATTCCTTCTAGAAGCTCCAATAACTTTTCTTGGGCCTCGTCAATCATCTTTGTCCTCTGAACTATCAACTTCTTCAACGACAAGTAGCCACCCAGCACTGAGCCAACCAGTTTGTTCTTGTAATGCTGCTTTATTAGGTCCACTTCTAGAAAACTTGATAGGAGATCTAGAGTGAGTGAGTGAGTGAGTGAGTGAGTGAGTGAGTGAGTGAATGAGGGTAAAAATGAACGAATGAATTTAAGATGAACGAATGGAAGGATAAATGAGTAAATGAACTGGTGAATGTATGTAATATAATTGCCTGACATGAATATTACAAACCATCAACATGCATGGAAAATTGAACAAATAAAAACATTAAAACAAAACGAAGATGAAAAGATCAGTCACTCAATCAACCAATAAATCAATCAACCAACAAATCAATCAATCAACCAACCAATCGACCAACCAACCGACCGACCGACCGACCGACCAACCAACCTGTTAGAGATTTGATAGCAAAACCCTGCGATAGATTACTACTCAAACTAACGGTCTCCAGCCTCTGCAACTCATTTATCTCCTGCAAATTATCATCATCACCATGATCACCATCTTTTTCCTTTCCATCATCATCATCATCATCCCCACCACCACCATCATCATCTTTATAATCATCATCGTCAAACGATATGTCAAATCATCATCGTCAAACGATTGTCATCATCATCGTCATCATCGTGAAAAACAGAGTCGACGTATTTCCCCCTAATCACTGACCAGAGTGATAAGATTAGTGATTTTGTTGAGGACTCCTTTCAGGGATGTGTAGTACTTCCAGTGGCCGGTGGAGATGAGCTTCTTGTAGAGCTTCAGAAATTCCGCAGACGACTCGCCACTCTCCCCTACCTCGTCTAGACAGCTAAAAACGTAATAAATAACAACAGTTATTACTATAATTAGTAGTAGTAGTTACAGAGCAGTAATGGTAGTAGCAGCAACAGCAGTAGAAGTAGCAGCAGTAGAAGTAGCAGCAGTAGTAGCAGCAATAGTGGTAGCGATAGTAGTAGCATGTATGACAGTGATAGTAAATGATAGTTACTACTAACTCAGATAGGATATCAATGATATCTTGCTTGCGGCCAGGTACCTTGCAGAAATCCTGTTAAAGGAGTGGAAAGCAGTAGGACCGACGGCTCATGTTTACGTCGCGCAAAGAAACAAACACAGCACGTAAAAAACCAACTAAATATTTACACACGAACACGCACAAACAACACACACACGCACACACACACATACAAACACACAGACATACAAACACACAGACAGACACTTACCTCAACGATATCGCATTCAGTCTGCCTCATAGCAGCAGACGTTGAAGAAAACATGGCCCTCCTAATCCAACTCGTATCTACCGACTTCAAATCCGTCGTTATCCTATTTTCTGAAGATGATGATGTTAAGATAGTACATATGTGTGTGTGTGTGTGTGTATGTGTGTTAAGATGTGTGTGTGTGTGTATGTATGTATGTACACAAAAATATTTAAAACAGTATTTACTAACTTAACTTAACGTTGAATCTCCACTTGTTGAAGTACTTCTCTGACAAATACCTAACTCTCACTGCCTTCCTCTCGTTCTCTCTATCTCTCAATCTTTCTACTTCTCTCTTTTTCTTGCTGAACCCTGCTGCTGCTGTCGCCGCTGGTGGTGGTGGCTGGCCACTTGAATCCGAGATAACTGTTCGTTGTCGTCATAACGATGATGATGACGATGACGTGACTACGCAAGTAATGAAACATCTCCATCCTCATCATCACCTCATTATAACCACTACTGCCATTTTCATCATTGTGGTCACTCCCATCACAATCACCATCATCACCACCACCATCACCACCACCATCACCATCACCACAACTATCATCACAATCACCACCATCATCACAATCACCACCGTCACCACCTCTGGTTGGCAGATTTTTGACCCAGGAACTGAACGAAGCAGCAGGCCTGCCAGCCATCCAGCCCTGAAAATCTGCGGTCAGCTGAACTGGTGGGTGGATGCTGTAAACTATGGCGTCGCTAGTAGTAGTAGCAGAAGCCGTGGAAGTCGCCGTCGTCGCGTTAGCACTCGATGACGACTTCTCCTGTTTGTAGTAAAGTGGTGAAGAGTAATCAAACAAATCAATTAAAAATTCAAATATAAAAAACCGAACCTTCTTAGCAGATTTACCGCCAGCAGAGGAAGTAGTAGCTGTAGTAGTAGCAGCAGCAGCAGCAGCTGGCTGCGGCGTGGGAGTCGCAGTTGAAGCTGAGAGACGCTGCAGTATGCGTAGGCAGGGAAGGGAAACGGCGTCTTGAATGGACGGCGAGTCGTAACGAGTGCAGATGTTGAACAGCCGGATGACTGGTCGGCAGTGAATTGAGATGATTGGATAATTAATCGATTGCGTCACTTGTTTAATTAGGTCAACTAGCTTAATTCGGTCACTTGTTAATTAGATTATTTGTTTAATTAGGCCATCGGTTAATTAGGTCGCGAGTTTACCAAATTATTTGTTAATTTAATTAGGTCAGTTGTCAATCACAATCTTCTATCTTTCCGGTAGAGTCTTCATCGTTAAAATCATCCCTGTCATCGTCGTCGTCAACATCGTAATTACAGTCGCCACCCCTCTTAAAATATCACCATCACTCACTCACTCACTCACTCACTCACTCACTCACTCACTCACTCACTCACTCACTCACTCACTCACTCACTCACTCACTCATTCATTCACTCACTCAACCACTCACTCAACCACTCACTCGCTCACTCACTCTCATTCATTCACTCAATGACTGACTGACCGCATCTCAGCCTCTCCTCCCACATATCATCATCGATGAGTAGCAAGTTATCCAGGAGACCCATCTCGTGACGAACGGTGGAAGCCTGTTGCGTGCGATCACGGTGGTCATCATGACGACGACAACAACAACAACAACAACAACGACAACAACAACAACGACGACAACAACAATAAAAATAAAAGATGTTAACGGGTCAACAATAATAATAATAACAATGGTGACGACGACGATAATAAGAAATGATGATAACGACAAGAGAGATAATTAAAAAAAATGTATCTGTAACATGATGGTGTTTACGGCGATAAAGATAGTAGATGATCCCACGATAACTCACAAAATCCGGATTTGAAAAATGGCCGCTAATAGCCAGCTGAATGTTATTGGATAGCAGTGAAAGCAGGTCACTAGTAGCCGCTTCGTGATTGGTTGACATGAGACAGAGAAGGTTCCTGACCTCTGACCTAATTTGAGGTGAGCCTCTGCGTAGATTGTAGTTGAAGAGTTCCTTGATGAGACCCTGTATATAATGTTGCGAAGCAATTAAAAAAAAAAGTCGATTGAGTTGTTGGTCATATCACGCTGATGTTGTTGTGTTGTAAAGGTCTTGTTGCTGGGTCGTTGTTGAACACACACACACACGCGCACACACACACACGCGCACACACACACACGCACACCTGTCCACAAAGATAGTTCTTCAGATTAGCAGTCGTCGACATGGCTCTCAGCAACGTAATGCAGTGTTCGACGGTTGATATTGCACATCCATAGCAGTATGTCTTCCTTGAAGCACAATTATACGTAATGATAACAATTATTATAAATTGGTATTATAGTCTAATTTAATCAAATAACAACAATTATTATCATAATAACTTTATTACATTTAATTATTTTTTAAAATTTTTCTCGAAATGGAACAACGACACGACACAACTCCTCATCTGCAAACCTTCCTTTCCCAACGGTGGTGACACCAGCTGCACCGACAGCAACGGCATTGGCGTGACCTTGACACGTAGCTACTGTCGCCACGCTGCCACTTGCAGCCGCAGCAGCTACGGTAGTAGGTGGAACAGCAGGGAAAACAGCTGATGATGTCATCGAAGCAGATGGCGTCATGGAGGCGAGAGCTGCTTCCTGCTGCTGCCTGTCGAATTTCACAAGTTCCTTGCGTGTGGCCTGCACTTTCTGCAAGGGTTTAGAGACAAAAGATGGAAAATGGGTCGACAAAATTTTAACAAATCATCAACAGGCACTCGATCCAGTCATTAAACCGGTCATAGAAACCTGGATGATTTTGCTGAGGTCCTCAAATGCCGTCTTACATTCCATACAATACTTGAGGGCCAGCTGTTGCAGTGATTTATTAATAGTAACAGACAGCGAGCCAACAGCAGCAGTTGCATTAGCTGAGGTGGTTGTCGTAGCAGCTGCCCCACCACCGGAGGCTGTTGCAATTGCAGCACTTGCTGCAGCCGGCTGCTGACCGCTATTAGCAGAGTTGCTGCCGGAAATGACGTTGATGTGATCCTTGACACGTACCAACAGGCTGACGATGACGGACTTGAGATCCTGCAGCTGTTTGTAGAGGATGTCCTCACTGTCCAGGTGCGAGTTGATTGACGTCACGGCCTGTCGAATCGAATCAAACGTCATGACGTAACGAAATTAATCAGCTGCTAAAATGCTATTTCTCCAAATAAATCAAAACCAATCAATACTCTCTCTCTCTCTCTCTCTCTCACACACACGCACACGCACACACACGCACACACAAACATGAACAACACAACACAGGCAGGACTACTACTGACTTTCTTCCGATCTTCTTCCGACTCGATGGGATCGACAGCACAGCACTGCTTGGCGCACATGGTGAAGTCGAACTTGGCGTACTTGCAATAACCGCACGAGTTGCACAAGAAGGGATCTTTCTCGTCGTAATTTATCGCTCTATAAACAATGATAGTTACAATAATAATAGTTATCATCTTTTACACTATATGCATTCAATGGTTATCATCCTAAAGGTTCATTGGTTTCAGATTTGTATGCATTTTTCGGTGGTCTTAATTGTTAATACAATTAATCAATTGTGTTTGTTTTATTTTGTTGTGTTGACTTGTGTATTATTATTTATATATATAAGATAAGCTTATTATGTACATTACCTATTTTATTTATTTATGGTTTATATTTTCGAATTTCTATATTTTTGTTTAGCAAGGGGCTCTGCCCGTGCTGTTTTGAATAATAATAATAATAATAATAATAATAATAATAATAATAATAATAATAATAACTTCTAAACATTTAAACATCGCCTGAAGATAAAAAAAAATACGACGTACAACAAAAAATAATCATCGAATATCAAACAGAACAGATACACACGCTGATGCGGACCAGACGGGATCTAGCCTAACCTGCACTTATGACACTGAAAGACGTTCTCTCCACAGTTAGTGCAGACGCCAGGATTGGCGGGAACGGAAGCAGAACATCTGGGGCACTGGAGGGTCTCAGTAGATGAGTGGGTGTTGTCGTAGAACTCTGCGTACTCGATCATCAGGTTGCAGGCCACGATGGGCAGGCTGAATTCGACCTTCACCTCAGTCTGACCCTGGGTTAGGGTCACCTTTTTCGCCTTATGCCAGAGAGTCGGTCTGAAGTTAGTGGAATGGATGAGAAAGTTATTTTATTTAGTGCAGCAGGCGTTTCGAAACATTTAAAAAATCCATCAATGTTTTAATTACTTTACATTCTGTTTACACAAAAAATCAACAAAAAAACATTAACAACAACAACAGCAGCAACAACAACATTAGCAACAACACTAACAACAGAACACTAACTTATTTTTAAGCTCCAGTATAGCTTGAACGTGTTTGTTATTGTAGTAGACAACTAGGGTCTTCACCATCTTCGACTTTTTCAGATCGGTGATGCGCAGTAGAAACTTTGAGATCGTATGACTGGAGATCAGTTTGACGATCTGAGAACTGGTCGTGAACTTCGAGTCCACCTTCACCGATGACAGCTTCATGTTCTGGAAGATTGGTTAATAGAACTATTGCTGTAATGGTTTTTTAAAAAATGTAATTAACACTACTATTCATCCTCTTCTTCTTCATCTTCTTCTTAGTACTAGTATTGCATTGCTAATATTTTTAGCATCATTGTTGTTATTAC